GGTGAGAAGGGTCAACAATTCGTACTTTGTACTTTGCGCCGAGAGTTCCGTTCTTTGCAGGAATGATTATTTCGAAATTTCTCTTGAGATACGAATTTTTCGGTTGAAGAAGCAAGAAATTTAAATTAAAACGTTTTATCAATTGAAAATCTAACAGTGAATTAAAAAAGCCCTTGTTGAAGCTTCAGAACTTCTATAAAATTTTTGGGAACTTGAAAAACCGATCAAAATTTCATCAATCTGTTTACTGGTATTTTCCTGTATCTGTAATGAAAATAGCATCTTTGATTGACAATAAAACGTCTCTAAAGTAGCAACTTCAAATAAAAACCCTTAAGTAGTCTCAAACGATCCCTTAAGTGACCACTCCCCACGAAATACTCACTAATATCAACGGTCATGACAACCGGCGGCGGTGGGACGCCGGAAGTACTCGGCACGGTTCCTTCGGAGCATTTGCCACGGAGCGCGATTGTCTCACCGGAGTCGGTTTCAAGTACTCCCTGAAGGGAAATAGAGTTACTTAAGTAATCACTTGTGTTAATCAGCTTTGAACTCGGAAATATGAACTTTTCGGAATTTAGGGTTTTTAAAGCTTATTTTGAACAAAAAATTAATAGAAACTGAAGAAAAAACCTGAAATTTTGTGCCATCTTTACTGAAAATAATCCGAGCCGTCCCTTGCTCCCGAAGGTCGCAGACGATTCCTTGACGTCGTCGGTGACTCATCTAAAAATATAAGCCACTTAAGAAGCTACTTAAGTTTATAGTATGGTCACGAAAACCTTTAAATAGGTCTGAAAGGGCGGAGCCGGAAAACATGCAACCGTTTCTCTATATCAGCGAAAATTTGGTCTTGAGCGGAAGTTTTTAGGCTCCGCCCAGGGATTTTGAGAGATTTTATTATGAACTATAGGTAAAGAAGGTATATAAAAAATGAAAATGAAACGGTTTTATACAAAAATGACTTGAATAAAGGCAGAATAAGAAAGAATTTAGAAAAAAAAAGAAAATTTTGAAAATTTTCATGCATCTTGGACTTCAGGGAGTGAAAATGAGCTGAAAAAAACGCTGGAAGTTGAAAAAAAGCAATTTTAATCTATATTTTACAGCAATTTTGACTGTAATCCAGTAGATCCCAGTGTAAAAT